GCACCTGTCTCTTATACACATCTAGATGTGTATAAGAGACTGGGACATTCCCTGGTCCTTGCACGGCCGGGCCCCCGGCAAAATAGGGTGACCCGGGCCGCCCGGCTGGTAGCCTAGCTAGGGATGGAATAGAGTTTCAATAAGTCACCTAATTCATAAGTATACTACGTCCTCCCGCGTGGACTTTATGGCTACCGGTTCCCTTTTCTTATCTTCCAGAAATGTGGCAAGTTTTTCTCTTTTTCCCCCCTCGTAAATGTAGTTTTGTGCACTTTTGTTCGTTTTCCCCCATAAACTTCTAACTCTAGCGTTTACCAACTCTAGATGTGCACGTTCCTGTTCTGTCACCCATTCCTTTTTCTCCTCGTTCCACAGATGGTGCACTTTCCAAACTCCCATATTTGATCCACGACATTTTGGGCCATTTGAGGGGCAAAGCCGTCTTTTGTCAGCAAGATGCCTAGATATCGCGTAGGGGTCTCTGGTGTCTCCCATGTCATGTCTGCCTCGGGGCCTTGAAGCTGGGGAACCTCCTCCTCCGATAGCCACCAGCCGATTGTCTTCTTCCAATTAATCTTCATTTCTGGTGCCAGTCTGAAAGCTTCCATTGCTCTTACTAACGCGCTGAAGGACAAATCTGAAGCTCTTATGAGGACCTTGAGATCGTCTGCAAACGTTATTACTGTCGGGAACTGTAGGTGGTGGGCTGGTTCCTACACTGACCTCTGGTATCACGAAGAGGAAGATTGGGGGAGCTAGCAAGTCCCCATGGCGACCTGACCGAGAGATTGGATAGCAGTCAGAGAGCAAGCCATTGACTTGGACACACCCTATGGCGCCGTCAGTGACATTCTTTCTTTCAGCAGAAAATTACTAAGAAACGTTAAGAAAATACCACGGTTACGTCGGACCCGGAGACCGGACCAGTCCAGACGTCAGGCCGGACCTGTGTGTGGACTTTCCTGGACTGTCCAGATTGAGAAAAACCATACCTGTGGCGCAAGTGTGCTGTGTGCTGATCACGGATGTGCGGAAAAAAAAAAAAAAAGCGACAGCGGCCGTGATGCGTGAAAACTCGTGCATGCGCGTGGGTGAGAGAGAGAGAGAGAGAGAGAGAGAGAGAGAGAGAGAGAGAGCAAACAAGTAGCCCTTTTACATTAATTAGAAAAAACCCACGGGTAATCCGAGAGGCCCCTGCCGATAGTTAGCAAGGGCCTCCTCGCCATGGAAGAGGCAGTGCTCAAACACGTAGTTGGCAGCAGCACGCCAACTATATATGGTGTATATTCGCGTGAAGGTCCGTGTTTCAGCAGTTATGGCCTTTATGGGACCACTGAGCACGTGATTTTCTGTGCTCAAACACGTAGTTGGCAGCAGCACGCCAGCTATATATGGTGTATATTCGCATGAAAGTCCGTGTTTCAGCAGTTATGGCTCTTATGGGACCACTGAGGACGTGATTTTCTGGGCGGTAGCAGGCCAACTCATCACGCGATTCCCAGGGCTTCACTCCCCTACTCACCAAATGTGCAAAACTAGATTGAATCTTCTGCTAGAACATGGCACCATCCGCTGGAATATGTTTTGTCGTTTATGCAAGTGGTGACAAGTGGAGCCAGGTCCTTAGGGCCACTGCTTGTAGGAAAAGGAAAACAAAAGGAAGAGAGAGCTACGATAGTTAGTTGTGACCCATAACTGCTGGAACACAGACCTGAATTCGTATCCAGAAGATATATTGCTGGCCTGCTCCTCTCTCATCCGAAATTCGATGAACGACTCTGCTGAGACATGAGTCCCCTGGAGATTCTTTGCTGGGGCTCTACGGGAAAAAAAACTACATGCAATGGGGAATACGTGGCCCCAATTTATTTTTTTGTGTCCTTAGAACTTTTTAGAAGGGAGGGGTACGTTTCGTTACCTCAGCCAGCCCTTCCCGAATTTCTTTATTGATGCTATTTATTGGGGTGCGCCGCATCTCGTGCGCGTGCATGCCTGCACGTGCGCTATGCACCGCACATGTGGAACTCGCGGGCATGCAATGCGCCGCAGGTATGAGGAAAGTTTTAAAAAGTAATAGAAACCCGTAAAAAAAAACGTTTTTATTTTTTTCCCTCGGATTTGGCTACGAATTTGGAGATGGTCCTCAGCCAAAAGATTCTTGTAGTCCAATGCTGCCTAACATAGCTATTTTTCAGATTTTTTTTTTTGAAGTCGGATTTTCTTTTGTGGTGGGGATGGGGGATGGGTCTGGACATTCTAGACCGGGCACCAGACCTGGACATCCAGATCCAAACCGTCTGCATGCAGTCTGGACGTCCGGGTCATATCCATGGAAAATACAGTTTAATCAGTTTCCCTTGCAAGGTGTTTCCAAAAACTGACTTCCCTGTATCCTGAATGGCTGAGTACAACTTCTACGTAAAAAGAGAGTGAAACCCATGGTAGAATACATGGTAGAATATTCTATTTTGTAGCCTGCAACTAACCCAGCTTCCGCTTCTAGTAATCAAAAGGAGCACGATTTTGTAGCCTGCAACTAACCCAGCTTCCAAAATGAACTGGCACAAGCGCAATTTCTTTTCTTTTGACTGGCTGTGCCAGTCATTTCGGTCCAGTAGCCTCGAGCCACCAAAACTTGCAGATGCACAAATTGACACTTGGTTTCTTGCCTGGGCCGAAAAGTAGTGGGTTTAAAGCATACATGCAGGGCATTGCGATGCATTGCACTTGGCACACGAGCCGCTCCGCGCATTGCGGACGATGTGTGCGCACAGCGCGCACGGCACGTCAAAAAAAAAAGATTTACGAGGGGCGGTAGCAGACCCGCCCCCCTGCTCGCGTAAAATGAGAAGCGTGCATCTAGATTTTTTTGGAGGCTGCATGTAGTGTGAGGATTGAGCCCTCAAGAAGGGGCCTTGCCATGATGTACATGTTTTGGGCTAAAGGCCCCAGCAAGCCTCGTGCCTGCCCTAAGTGAAGGCGGGCCAGCAATTCAACAAGAGCCCTCTGTGCAAACATTTCACGAAGTTCCATACAGTTGCAGCACGCCAGTTGGTTGGAGTGCACCGAGTATCGAAGCTCTGCAAATGCAGAAATCCCAGGGCCCCAGAGTTGGTTAGGCCCTGGGCACATAAACGTGAGGCCGACATTGCATACTGGAAATAGAGGCTGAAAATGCCAATGGGATACCRGTCCACTATCTGAATCTGGACGCAGGCCYGGATGAAAGAGGCACAACTGTACTGCGWGGGCYSCAACCACATTGGGCCTGGGTGCAGGTACTGGGGCCCAGGCGCAGGCTCAAGGGAGGCCGCCCRCACGCAACACTGGCATATAGGCAGAGAGGGCKAGTGGGMAGGGATCTTGGCCATTGCGGGCAATGCCGGCACGCTGCRCAAATGCGAGGTGCTGCGCTGTGCTGGGCTGCGCTGGGCTGAGGTAGAAGCAGGCAAGCGCTAAGYGGTAGAKCGCTGCC